ATCAAACGACCATTGTAGTGAAGGTAAGTCGCGGCCTGCGTAATGTAGTGCGGGCTAGAATATGCCGGTAACGTGGTTCACAGGTCACATAATAGAACAGCTTCTTGTAATTAGCGATATTCTGGTATATAAGCATATATTGTCAGACGTCAGCGTACGCTCTACCGCAGCATCATAGCACATTGTACGTTCTACACGTTCAAGCTTCGATACGAACACAATTGCTTTGGACTTGGCAGCACCTAACCGCATGTGTCAACTAATTACATATAGCTTGAGTTGATTTCCTTGCATATAATTTTCGCGTGCAATTGAATTTTAGCAAATTGCGGAAATAAATGACGAACATATAATATATAGAACATATACACCTACCGCCTGTTTCAACGAGACGCACGCTTGTTCAGTAGCTATGAGTTGACTGTCGGTGCCGCGTGGTGCGTCCGGTTGCTAATGCCCGCCGTCCGCGTGCTAGAGGTCGTGCGTCGGGAGCCGCGTATCGTCCCGTGTCGTCGATCTGTTCTCGTTGTCCGCGACTGTCGCGAGGTCTGTAACAGTTGTCGCCGCCACCGAGTCCGCGCGACATGCGATTGCCAAAAATTTTCTGCCGTTCGGTTTGCCTTTACAACTTCGCCCAATTTTACAAGAGAATTAAAGCCAGGAACACCACCCTGCCTCGGCTCCACTTCCCCGCCAGCCAATCAGCGCGCGTCGCCGCTCGTTTAACGCACGTCGGAAAACGACGAGGGCGGGACCACATCAGCGCAACGTCGCGCAGAAATATCAGTGGAAATGAAGAGGAAGCGGCGTGTGCATGGCCAGACCATATTCGATGCCGACCGACGGGTTTGACGTGATTAATGCAGATGCCGACCGTGATGGGCGACACATTCCGCGTTTACCCGGTGGCGGGCCTAAAGGGCCAAGCGGCGAGCGCGCGACAGCTCGGGCCCGTGCGCGAACGAAGCGTCTGCATATAGCATTGACAGCTAGGCGGCGGCGTCGTCCGTCGCTCCTCAAGTTACGCTGGGCACAACAGACTCTTCTCTCTTTCGTCTTTTCTCTCTTTCTTCTCTCTGTGCTGTGTGTGTGTGGGCGTGCGTGTTGCGTGCCGTGCGTGGCGGTGCGTGTGCGTGCGCCCAGGTCGTGGCGGCCGCCGTGGCGGACGCAGCGGTGTCGTTCGTGCGTGCGTGTGTGTGTGTGTGTGTGTGTGTGTGTGTGTGTGCTGTGTATGTTGTGTGTGTGTTGTGTGTGTGTGTGTGTGGTGATGGGGGTGTGTGTGTGTGTGGTGTGTGTGTGTGTGTGTGGTGTGTGGTGATGTGCGTGTGTGTCGTGCATGCATGCGAGGGGTGCAATGTTGGCGGCGAGTGGGATGAGCAGCGTAATTAAGCTATATGTTATATCACATTTATATGTATACCACAACACATATATATATATATAATATATGTAATATATATATACACCTCATTGGCCCCCGTGGCAGTGGTTACAGCCAAGAAGAGAGAGAGCATGAGAATTACGAACGACAGAGAGACGGACGAAAGACAGAGAGAGAAGAGAGAGAGAGAGAGAGAGAGAGAGAGAGAAGAGAGAATGAGAGAGAGGAGAGAGAGAGAGAGATGAGAGAGACGAGAGAGAAAGAGACACCAGCCAGAGAGAGAGAGAGAGAGAGTGAGGAGGGAGAGAGGAAGGGGAAAGGAATGCACCCTTAGTTAGGATTATGTCATGTGACAACAGTTAAGGAGGAAGCAGTGTAGTCCGTGGGTGGCGTATGCGTGCATGCGTGGCATACGGTGCCACGCATATGCGTGTGCGTGTTGAAGGGAAGGGGATGAATCTCAGCGCATCGAGCCACCGCGCCACTGCTCGTTATGCACAAAAACATCAACCGCCATGCATGAAAAACCCACAGACGATCCCAAAAAAACCACGTACGTCGATGCAGGTATTTCACACATGGCGATTACATTCTAATACGGCGGCCGCGGCGGCGCGCGCTTCCAAGACTCAAATCAACCGAGACGGGCAACGACGACAAAGAGAAGCGGGCGATTCTCCGGCTATATTGCTTGCCTAGCGCACTGGCCTGCCGACCTGTAAACACACGGATAATAAGTCAATGAGTACAATACGCACCGTCTGCATCACGAGTGTTTGTATAGGTTACGCCAATGGTCCCAAGCCATGAGCGGAGCCAGACAGAAACCGCCATGTCATTGATGGTGTTGAGCACGTGCGGTATAGTTTGTCCGAGTAAGAAAGTAAAAGAGCTAGTAAGAAACGTTTATATGTTAGATATAGAGATAGTTGTCAGGAATTTGTTTATTCTTTAAGGTACACTATTGCAGACGCAATTTCAATTGTTTATTGGTATAGGAATGGGTCTTGGATTCGCCATGGTTTAGGACTACCGCTCAGTGCAAGTGGTGCTTACTATTTAGCCACTACTTAATGTAGAAATTACTTACTTTTCCCGAATGTTGAAAGCTCATATAAAGAAACAAGGAATATATGTACGGCTTGATTATCTTAAATTGGTCAAACTGCCAGCAAGCCACTCTGGATCATCAGTGTCTCTAAATAATATCACATGATTATACACCGAGTAAATCACCATTAAAATCATCTTGTTTTATCATTCTAGTTAATTTTTCATAATTAAAAAACATTTCTAGGAACGACATACACTACACGCTTACAAATGGCTGCCTGTTGACATGTTTTACCATTATTACAAAATCTTACGATATTCATGGGGATCTAATTATTTAGTTGACACTCGCTCCGCATCAGCAGTCATCATTCAACTCATCGTCCAGCAGATGGCGGTGTAATGTCAAACACGGCAGAGACAGGCGGAGATGTAATTTGAGCATCAGGTATCTATCTACAAGCTTCGTGTATCTATTATATACAATGTGTTTGTGTGTTACAACCGAACACGTAGGCAATTTTAACGCTATGGCTGGAAACTCATTTGCTACTCGTTAAACTCGTTTAAAAATGATAATATTTAATGATTTCAAATATTTCCGATCCTCTCAAGCCGCAGTTTACATGCTGTCATTTTACCATGACCTCTTCAGTACCAGTAGAACTACTACCAAATGTTACTGTCGTGGTGCGTGATAGAAAGAGAGTCTTTAATTTTACGTTACCCACGTATATTAAACGGCACTTTTAAACACAAATATATGGGCCCTTTTTTATATTAAACTAGTCCGATGACTGAAAAGCATATGCGGAGCCCACCTCATATGTTTGTTTCAGTAAGAATACCGCCTACAAATATTTGTATCTTATTTATTTATGTTACATTTTGGGGGGGGGGGGGGCTTTTTAGGTCTCGTATAGGCTTTAAGCTGAGGTGACGCCGTAGTGCCCCTTCTTTCCACTCATGTTAACGCCATTAATGCTATATTACGGATTGTCGAGAGCGGCAGCTCCACGGTCGCGTCGCCTGCGCAATTAACGAATTAGCGAGATTTTCGCGTTCACGCGGGACGTATCGCGATCCAGCTCCAGTCAACGTGTATATATATGATATATATGATATATATATATATATTATATAGGCCTATATATATATATATATATATATATATATTATGGGATGTGCATGTACGCGACACTACCTAATTAGGGCATCACAGCAGCGTGATTAAGAAGAGCTCTTGGTGCAATTTATAACTTCTGTTCAGCGCGTGGCGAATAGGTGCCCCGTTGCCGTAAGGGAGCGACGGCGCAGAAGCAGCAGGGGCAGGAGCAGCAAGAGCAGATAGTCCAACCAGAGAAGAGCAGCATCATCGGTAACAGTAGCAACAGCGTCATCATCGTAACAGCAGCGCAGCATCAGAATCATTATCAGGTCAATCAGAATCATCATTAACAGAAGCGAGCAACAGGCACTACCAGTAGCCATCATCATCATCAGCCAGCAGCAAAATCCATCAGTTCGAGCGCAGCAGTGGTCAGCAGCACGCAGCCAGCAGGACGACTGAGGAGGGCACGTAGGAACGGCAGGCAGGCAGCAACGCTAACAGCATCAATCATCCAGCTTCAGCAGGGAGCAGGGCAGTATTGTGAGCGTCAGCAGTACGCAAGCAACTAACGCCTACAGCGACCGTACAGCCATACATATATCAGGGTGTTATATAAGCAAGCGCACGCTGCGAAAATACGTATAGATCTCGTGAACGCCACGTGCGCGCGTGTGTACTATGGGCTCGTGAGTGTGTGTGTGACTGTGTCCCACTACGCACAACACCTGTCGTCGCGACTTGATGCGTCGCACCTTTCCGTAATTACAAGACCGAAACGATCGCCCATTGTCGCTGCCGAGCAGTTACCCTGTAAATAGGACAATCCTGCGACAGTTACCTGTAATAGGACAATCTGCCGACAGTTTCAACCGTACATAGGACAATCTGCCGACAGTTACCTGTATATAGGACAATCTGCGAACAGTTTTCCTGTAAATACTAATAGCGACAGTCTGCCTCACAGTTACCTGTCAGAGCGCGGGAGACTGCGTAGCTGTCATCGCATGCTATTATAGCGCTGGATAGCCATAGTGGCTTCTTATAGTCAGGCTTGCATATCTTCTTGCTTATAGCTCTAGCTTCTATAGTCATGTCATGGCTTCTAGTATAGGCTTCATAGCTTCATAGCTTCATAGTCATCGCCTCATAGCTTCATAAGCTTCATTAGCTCATAGTATAGCTTCATAGCTTCATAGCTTCATAGCTTCATCGCTTCATAGCTTCATAGCTTCATAGCTTCATAGTATAGCTTCATAGCTTCATAGCTTCATAGTATAGCTTCATAGCTTCATAGCTTCATAGCATAGCTTCATAGCTTCATAGCTTCATAGTATAGCTTCATAGCTTCATAGCTTCATAGCGACCATAGCTGTCATCGCAGCTATATACCCTTGGCCGAGGCTGGTCGCCGCTGTTTCCCCCGTATATCTGACATCAGCGCCACCAAGCGACGGCATGGCAGACGTGAACGAGATGTCAACGCGAGAGACCTACAGCAAGGCAACGTTCGGCGCTCCTTCGCTTTCCGTGAGTATTCGCCGAGTATACGCGCCACTAGCTCTAGTAGTAATACTATAACTATAAGTAACCCTTGTTGCCACATGTGTTGCCACAGCCATTGTTGCACACCCAAGGGCTATAGTACTAGAGTAACCGCGCCGCGTGTCCGTGTTAATTTCTCGCTCCCATCTCGTTTGTTTGTCAACTGTGCATGCGGAGCAGAAAACTCGTTCGTCAGTCGGCTCTTACACGCAGAACGTGGCCTCCCAACGACGTCGTATTAGAGAGTGGCTCTCCTATGTTGCTTGAATACTTTCTTGTTGCTTAATATAGGCTAAGACATATATATATATATTAAATAGAGCGATAGTGATAGAATCGACAGGTGCAGTCGTTACATGGTTGAAATATATGTACAAAAGGTGAAGCGACTTCTGGAAAACCGAACGCGATTCTAATACCCGCTTCAAGTAGATAGTCGAGACAAGATCGACACGGGCAAAGCTCATTAAATATCCATGTCCACACTGTGGTGGCAGCGATGAAAGACCAAGTTAGGAACCGACACGAATATTTTTTCCTTTATCGAACCGGCCACCGGGATCTCAAGCCCAAGGTCGAACCCCCCGAGCGTGGATCTTGTTGTAAATATAATTTCCTCGTACCTCCAGGCATATGGTGGGATGTTTGTGAGGATTAACGCCATAACGATTTTCTACGCATTTAAGCAGAAATCTTGGACCAATTCCATACTTCACGTTATCGTCACGCCGCCGCGCGTTGGCACGGCCTGCCGTAAACGGCTTATACATGCCGTGATCCTGGATTCTCAATACTTACTACTATACAAGACTTCGTCGTACTACAAGACGGAGTTCGTCTATTTGAAATCCTTAGTGTTGTGGACATTCGCATTGTAACACATGCAGGCGTACGGAGAAAATATACAGTGCATTTTATCAAGAGTCCTCTTATCAGAGATTTCTATTATGGACTCTTTATTTTATCAATGTCTTGGAACAGTATACGCTGCTTAAGCTAAGCGATGTCTAGCAGGTATTAAGATACCCAAATGCCAGAGCTTAATAAAAATAAGATAGTCCGTAAAAATTTCCGGATCGCTTGCGTACGTGTTAAATAGGTTTTCTATCGATGCGTGCGGTATTGTCCATGTTCACGCGTGTCACATTTGACTGCTTCTGGCGTCGTGCTAGCGCATATCGTTTACTTTTGTTTAGCGAAAATCCGATGTCTTTTCACGATCATGCACGCGAACCAGGCTAGAAAAAAACAAAGACGCTTGGAGCAGGCTGTAGTGGAGCGTTGTTGAGGGAAGGCACTGGGGCTCGTAGGTTTATGTCCCTCTGACCCTCTGTTGACCTGGCTCGTTTAGCTATTTCTGACTAACCCTAACCCTACCCTAACCCTATACTATAATTTATACTATATATATATATATATATATACTAGTATATATATATATATTAGATCAGAAATAGCTAAACGAGCGCGGTCAACAGACGGTCAGGGGACCATGACCGCTATCTGCGGTACTGGTTCTGCGCGAGTTCTAGCTATAGGGAGAAACCCTCGTCTTCCCCCTTCCTACCATCACCGACAGACCATCGTAGTTTTATCCCACGCACCTAGAATACGACACTATAGCGCTACGCGCTAGGCACTACCGTGCAAGCGAGAGAGTGAATCAGACACAAAAGAATCGAATGCTAACGAATCGTCAACAACGAAAATTCGTCACCGATGTTGAAGCTAATAGTTTCGCTTCATAGGGTCCTATGTCCCCCAGGGTACTCGCCGGAACCGTACTTGGGTAACCGGTCCGTATACCGGAATGTACCCTGGTAACTATTTGATATGGTTAGGGTTGGGTTAGGGTTAGGGAGTAGGCGACTCCCTAGACTCGTTAGTGGAGTAGGCGAGGTACGGTCCGGCATATTAGATAGTACCAGGGTACGTTCCGGTATACCGGACCGTACCCAGTGTACGTTCCGGCAGTACCCTGGGGGGACATAGACCCTCTCAGCAATAGTTTCATCATAGCAGTGATCATAGCCATAACCAGCCGCTGACACGTGAGGCCTTTGGCCTGTCGTACCGGTCGGCAAAGCAGACGTATTCGCACGTCGTATTCAAAATCTGGCGTGAGCATAATATTACGTAAAAACTTAGTAGTCCTTGGTGTGAACTGCATCGCGTCGGCGTCTAGACTCCCCGTGTAATGAATCCACTTTCTTTGCTCGCGATCAGACGGTGGGAGGGTCGGTACGCTCGGTTCGTACGTACGCACACGTCACACGACGAACACACTTTTCGTCTTTTCGTACAGTGGTCAATTATTAATCGTACGGACGCGAAAAACGTGGAGAGGCAAGCGGCTATAGTTCTCGCACCATAATTGCCGTTGTGTTTTTGCGGACTCTTGCAGGCGTCGAGCCGTACCAACATCCTGATGCCAGACCCCGGAAATGCCATCAAGTTCAGGTGAGCGGTCGCGTGCCGTAGCATAAATTAAGATGCGCGGGCCACATACAGCATGTAAATGTGTATTGGTTATATTCACGCGTTCGTGTTCTTTTTGGAATTCCTTAGCCCGTTAGACGATTATATGGTAAAGAGCTGGTAAGAGGGGGGCACGTAGTTGCGTTGAACGATCACTCTCCTCTTTTCTCGCGCGTTCTCTCTTTCTCTCTCTCTCTCTCTCTCTCTCTCTCTTTCTCTATCTCCTTCGCTCTTCCTCGCTCCCTTCTCGCTTTCTATCTATTTAGCTCTACCTCCCTCTCTCTCTCCGTCTCTCATTCCCTTTCTCTCTCTCTCGCACTCACACTCTTCCCTTTTCTCCCTTTCTCTTACGCACTATCTCGATCGCGTCCATTCTCTGACACAAAGACAAATTACGTTATAATAATATGCATATTGCTTTGCGTGCTTCCACGCATCACAGTGGAAGCAGATGGAGCAGGGCGCATAGGATTCTCCTGGCCCTCGTCATTCTCCTGCTCCTGATCTCGATTGCACTGGCTGCAACACTAGCTGTTTTCTACCTCAGGTTAACAAAAGGTGAGTCTTTTTTAAATGAAAAAGCCGAGTAGCCATAAAACCCCATGGCTATCAAAACTAATATTGCCCATGCAATTAAAGGTCGAACACGAATACATAGCGACATGGATCTGCTTTGGCTAGCATATAAGGTTATAATAAATGGGATAATAAATATCATGTGGTGTGTACTTCATATGTTGATACTCATAACGTGATACATAAAGTGTGTCTCATCCAATAATAAAAAAGAACAATCTCGAATGCGACCGATCTATTCGCGGCCGATAATCGTGTTGTTGTTTATTGCCAGTCGCCGACGACTCAAGCAACGTTTGCGTGACGCCGGCCTGCGTGCAATATGGTGAGAATTCTAGGCCGCCATCTTGCTTCAGCACGCACGCACTGGCGCTGTTCGGTCCAACCCATAGAAATAATGTACTAATTAGACTATATTCTAACTATAGTGTCTCTATATGTTCCTATTGTCCAAACTAATGCGTGAATCTAAGCGCCGATGCCGATCTTAGCGCCGATGACAAATATTTCTGGAGGTAATGGAGTAATATTCGTCAAGCGTAGTGGGAAGAAGCACAGTAGAGACGACCATTCTATTGGGCTGTATGACTGAAATACCAGCGATATTGTTGTTGTTTTTTCGTGCGTAGTCTTCGCTGCCTGCTCAATATCATCGTGCAAGATTGTGCCACACATGTAAAATACGCTAGTCATGTCCGCCTTTGTGGGGAGTAATGTATAAATAATGTAAAGTTGATGGACAACATGAAATACAGAGCCCTGCATGTACATTACGTAAACACGTACGTCTCATATAGGCGCAAGGATATCTTGGTTGAAACGATCTCGCGGCTAAATATAGAACACCTAATGATGTATTACTATAGCTATACCTTCCTCGCACCGTGCGTGAGGTGGTCACTAATATAGCGCGCGCCTTCCGGAATTTGCGAGTGCATATCGATTTCGAAAAACGTGGCTTTGCATCTCCATGGTTACCGTTATGGTCGCAGCGGCAGCGTCACCCCGGGTATGATTACAACCAGATTTTTCTATTACCCTTCCAGCAGGTATATAACATTCAATGTGAGCGTTCGCTAATATATATATATAGTTATATATATATATATCTATTATATTATATAGTTGTGAATGTATCTATTTATTAAATACGATTTTAAATTTATAGCTTGTTATTAACTTCATACGATAAACGTATATACAAACGGGAATACATTCAATCTGTTAACTTGCGTTGTTTTTGTTTGTTTGTCGTACAAGCGGCGATGTTTTCGGAGAACATGAATAGAGCTGCTGATCCGTGCGAGGACTTCTACGAATACGCGTGTGGCGGCTGGATCAGGAAGAACGAAATATCGGCCGACGAGCTGTCGCACGGCGTTTACGACACCATAGATAGAGCCGTCCTGCTCACGCTAAGAGGTGAGTCATCGAACACACAGACAGACGCGAACACACTGCGCACGCACGTAACTGTAGTGCATGCCGTCTACCTGCAGTCAAAGTCGACACGCGACGCGAACACACGTAACTGTATAATGCACGCCGCCTACCATTAATATGATTATATTATTTAATTGAGTCGGTCAGTTTTAGATAAATTCAAATATTAAATACCCCAATCAAATACGATATATAATCATCATCATAAACGCGTATCAATAAAGTACGAAATTATCATTGTGGATACGATGATTACATAATGCGATAATTGTGATACCCGCAATCAACCAGGCTTCGTGCATTGACGTTGTGTGCTACTACGTCACTGACTGTTTCTTGTGGTTTGCAGATGCTCTTGAGGAGCCAGTCATCGTCGAGTATAGCGAGGCAACGCGCAAAACTCGAAAGCTCTACGAAGAGTGCATTGACATCGGTAGGGGTCGCGGTAATCACCAACAACCCCACCATAATAACAAGTCTGATCTGCAGACTACCCCATATAGATTAAGAGTAGCGAAATATATCACAACTGTTATATATATATATATATATAAGTAACGTGATGTATTTGTGCAAATTCTCGCTCTTCGATCTGTCCTCTCTTCCATCGTGAAAGACTTTTGGAAGCTGTACAGTGACTATAACGATGTTAGAATAATGTCTTACTATCATTAACATCTACTACACTACCACAGATTTATGACTTTAATTTAGTCGGTCAGTTTTAGATAAATTCAAATATTACTATATCTACATCTACTATACCTCTACATCTACTATACCTCTACATCTACTATACCACAGATTTATGACTTTAATTTAGTCGGTCAGTTTTAGATAAATTCAAATATTAAATACCCCATCAAATACTATATATAATCATCATCATAAACGCGTATCAATAAAGTACGAAATTATCACCGTGGAAACGATGATTACATAATGCGATACTTGTGTTTATCAAACATACCCACTAAACATGATAACAAGAGCGTATAAAGAAGCTTCTTATATCTGCTCTTGATGATAATAATATAACTTATGCAACACGAGCACGCAGCAGACGACGATGACTAGGCAATAATTGCGGTTCTAGCTCTGTACTGTACTCTGTTACTCTGTAAGCTGTTCTGTAAGTACTGATCGCTTCTAGCTTCGGTCGACGAACGTAAGGCGATGCCACTACGCCAACTCCTGCGTGATCTCAACGCAACCTCGTGGCCGATCACGGAGGCGCAGTGGGATCCTGTCAGGTTTGATCTGACGAGGTTGCTGGCTGTCGCGTGGCTGCACGGGTTCGATGCGATATACGATCTGTCGGTGGGGGTGGACGATCGGCATTCAGACCGCCACATACTTACAGTGAGTCCATCTGCACTGGCTCTGTAACGGTGCCGTTAATGACGTGTAGGTGTGGTGGTGTTGGTGATGTTGGTGATGTATTTAGTTTTGCTCTTACTGCTTCTGCTGCTGCTGTTGTTGTTGTTATTGTTGTTGTTGTTGTTGTTGTTGTTGTTGTTGTTGTTGT